AGTTAGATCCATTTTGAATACTTTGTGTGTTTGTGAAAATCCCTCCATGTATATACTTGCACTTTGTTCCTATTGATCCTCTTAGTTGTACATTGTTAACTTTTTGGCTACATTTGAACTGTTAATATTTGTATTTTATTATAGTTTTCGTTTTTACTACACCTTCACTAATTCCCCATGTTTCTTCCCGAACTGCACTTATGTTGTTTTACTTTATACTAAGTCTGGGCGGCAGCCATTTGGGTTTATCCCTGCCTTTGGTTGCTTGAACTGTGTTGACTGGAATTGTGCATTTTGGTTGTGAATTGAAGCACTCTTCCAGAATTGAAAACACTCTGTGTTATAGAGCGACCAATTATTACCTTTTGAACGAATCTGTACGTGATCTATCCAGACAGGATAGAATAACATTTATTTGTGGTTATTGGTAATTTTCTTGCATCCTGTATCAACTTTCTTATTTATTGTAATTTAGATTTGATCAATTGAACAATTATTGGTTGGATAGCTGAGTGGTTATATTTGTTTAGGTAATAATGTACACTTAAATTTATGATAAATTATAGAACCGTCATCGTACCCAATTACTTTGTTTTGGTTTCAAACGGGCGAGGGTGCGTATCTAACTCATCCAGACAGCTGTCCTTCACTCCAAACGTAGTTTGGATCTTACAGTTCTCAGTCAGTCAGTCAGTACAATGTAGAATTTCGTACGTACGTACATCAGTTCGATTTGCCACGCCCCCTTAGCACAGAGATGTAGTTGTCGATTCAAATCCCGTAGTGGTAGAGGTAGCAAGATTATAAGCAGTAATCAGGAAGATTAGGGTTTGGAGATGTTATTTATAGAGTATAATCAAGTGAACTAAATTTGGAAAGAGGAAAAAAGGGGCATGAAAAATTCAGAAGATTGGAATTTGGGAGAATACAAAGAGTGGATGCACCTGTGCCACTGCAAACGATTTTGAGCCATCTCATTCAAGGTCTCTAACCATCGGTTGCTATCATCTCGTGGTCCCCAACCAGGTAGTCTACACCCACCAAAATGACTCAGTCCACTTGTCAGTGACTTCATGGACTTGTGCCATGTTTCGGTCTGGCCGCCCCTAGCTTTCTTCCAATCTACTCCTATACCACTAAACATAGCACGTCGAGGTAGTCGGTCGTTGGGCATACGTAACACGTGTCCCAGCCATCTCAACTGATGAAATTTCACTACTTCATCAATTGATTTGCCATCCTTACCTAGTACACGTTCCCTAACAACTGCATTACTTACTCGATAGTCCCAGGATATACGAGCAATGTTTCGAAGACACCTATTATCGAATACTAGTAACCTACGAATATCCTATACTCTTACCGGCCATATTTCACTGCCATAAAATAGGACGGGACGAACTGCTGCTCAGTAAACACGTCCTTTGGTTGGTAGACGGATATCTCGCCTACGCCATAAATGATGCAAGTTGGCAAAAGCTAGTCGAGCCTTCTGCATCCGTGCTGAGATTTCGTCACACACCAGACCACAAGGGCTGATGAGACTTCCAAGATAAGTGAAGCGGTCGACACACTCAACTACTTCACTCCCTATCACTAGTTCGGGTGTCGATGTAACCCAATCCTGAAGCAACATTTTGCATTTCGAGGGAGAGAATCGCATCCCGAACATGCTTGCATTGTTGCTTAGAATGATCAGAAGACTGCATTTTGTCAGCGTCTTCACCAAATAGAACTATGTCATCGGCATATTCTAGGTCAAAAAGTGAACCTCCCGGTAGAAGTTCAACCCCTGGAACTCTAGACGAGGAAAGTGTTATCTCTAAAAGCACGTCAACGACAAAATTAAACAAGAATGGAGAGAGTGGACAGCCCTGACGAACACCACTTGAGGTAATCAATTTTGATGACAGTTCGCCATAAGCTCTCACTCTACCAGTTGTGTTCGAGTAAAGAGCCTTAACAAGGTTAATATGCTTCCTTGGTACTCCTTTCAGTGACAAACACTGCCATAGAACCTCACGATCAACAGAGTCGAATGCCGCCTTAAGGTCGAGAAATACTACGATTGTGGGGCGTCTGAATGTGTGTCTATGTTCTAGGACCTGACGTAGTGTGAATATATGGTCTATACAACCACGTCCAGGTCGAAAACCAACCTGGTTTTCTCTAGTCTGTTCTTCATGAGCTTTGATTAGGCGTCGAAGTATTACTGAGGCTAATATTTTTAGACACTATATTAGTCAAACTGACTCCTCTGTGATTGTCACAAGAGGACTTTTGTCCTTTCTTATAGATTGGCACAATCAGTGATTGAGACCAGTCAGATGGGATTACGTCCAGTTCCCAAATTCTATCTAAGACCTCAGTTAATCTCACTGCTAATACTGGACCACTGTCCCTAAAAATCTCAGGAGTAAACCTGTCAGGGCCTGCCGCTCTCCCTCGCTTCAGATTTCCTATAGCTTTTCAACTTCGTAAAGGGACGGAGGACCTACATCAACTTGCCATTCAGGGTGACTAGAGATCGTGGGAAACCGAAGTGTGGCTAAAGACCAGTTGAACTGATCCCTAAAGTGCTCTGCCCATTGATCCAACCTCCTGGATTGATAATGTATAATATGTCCATCTTTCTCTGAGATAGTTTCGCTAACAGTCGGTTTCCTAATTCCGGTTTCCTTAACGAGTTTGAACAATTGTCTGCTATTACCTATTGCCGCTGCCTTTTCCATCTCTCTTGCTTTCGCTACCCACCACTGTTCGCGATTATTGCGTAGACTTCTTGTCAGCTTGCGCTTAAGCTGACTCCGCTCTTCATTATGTTCAGAGCCAGGTGGAATGAGTTTCCGAGCATCTATCAGTGAGATAGATGCTGCTGAGATCCAGTGTTGCTCCCTAACCTTGTGGTTTACCATACTAGCAGATATCACTGCTGTTTCCACAGCTTTTCGTATATCATTCCATGCTGCCTCGGGGTGGGCATCACATACACGGCTGCCTAACTGTTTTTCTAGTTGTTCCTGAAATATACTCTTAGCTTGACTATAATTAAGTAGGCCCCTAAGAGGTTTCCTGGCAGCGTCTTTCCTACGTCCAGTAAGACGCAGACAAATACGCGCTCGTACTAGAGCATGATCTGAATCTAAGCATGTGCTGCAGAATGAGCGACAGTCTTCTATCGAGCCCCTCCATCGGTGGCTGATAGCGATGTGATCTATTTGGGTCCAACGTTGGGACGAATTATGGGGTAGCCATGTCAAAAGATGTTTTTCCTTATGCTTAAAGTTAGTATTTGCAAGGAACAGGCGGTTATCTGAGTATAGCTGCAACAGACGGTCGCCATTATCTGTTCTTTGACCAACGACACCATAAGATCCACCTAGGTGTCTTTCCCCATCGCTTGGCTTACCTACTTGATCATTAAAGTCACCAGCCACTATTACTACATCAGAGCACCTAGCTTTTCGGAGGAGGTCGGAAAGCTTTCTGTAAAACTCATCTTTTACATCATCTGAGCTGCAGTCAGTGGGAGAATAGGCAGAGATGACGAAGAGGCAACGACGAGTGTCCCTATCTTTCCGGATTCTTACTGTTCCGTTCAGTCGGTCAGCGCACACACGACCGTTTACTGGAATCCAGTCTAAGAGAGCTAGTTCTGCCCTAGGACTCAATGCTATATCTACGCCGGCCAGACCACGATAAGCAGCGTCTAAGCTTCCAGATACATGAAGCTTGAATCGAGTCGGTTCTTTATTTATGCATGGTGAGGTCAAATGAATGACACTACTCGGATCCTGTATGCGCGTTTCGGAGACGCAGCACACATCGATGGCGCGAGATTCTAAAATCCTAGCTAAGGAAGCCTGTTTTCCTATTTGGCACAGTGTTCGGACGTTAAAAGCTCCTACATGTAGTTTAGAGCGTGGTTTCAGGAGACCGGGAATAACGTTCCGCGTACTCGAATCGTTTGCCCTAGCGTTGCGAGGTGATAAAGGGACGTCAGAAGGGTTAGTCGTCGAGATAGGGGGCCAAAAAAATTCGAAAACGCTAGATTTGTCAGTTGCTCAGGATCACTGTAATCAACATTTGTATTTTTGAATAAGTCCTCTCAAGTTTCTCGAGCGATTACATGCGCCTGTCCGAACAACCGTTTTAGAATTTCTTTGGCCTTCTTCTAACCAGAAGAGGCTTCCAACATAACACAACCCTCAATGGCTGTTTTCGCTTTACCCTTACAATAATGTACCAAATAAAGCAAGCGTTGACCATCATCCTTGACCCTTGATTCTACATAGGTCTCAAACTCCATTAAAAACTTACAATAACCTCTTGGTTGACCGTCCAAATAACTTAACTCAACCTTTGGTAACTCTGGACCTACGAAAGCCGCCGTAGGCATCACGCTTCTTGCTTGCTTCACGTCTAAACTAAGGTTTTCTATGCCATCTGCCATTATATCACAACTAGATTCACTATAATTACAATCGTCCCTATTAGAATATGAACCATGACACATAGAAGCATCAAAAGGCACTTGCCTTGATTGAGGGGATCCATCCTTTTGTTCATCTCTTTTAACATCCACGAGCCTTGGACTTAATTTCCTTCGACGATTGTTTGGCATCGCAAGCGAACGACCAAATATTCCCAGAGACAATGATTGGAATCAACGAAACGAAAGCCAAACGAATTCGACCGAAATATTTGTTTAGAACTGTAAGATCCAAACTACGGTTTGGAGTGAAGGACAGCTGTCTGGATGAGTTAGATACGCACCCTCGCCCGTTTGAAACCAAAACAAAGTAATTGGGTACGATGACGGTTCTATAATTTATCATAAATTTAAGTGTATATTATTACCTAAACAAATATAACCACTCAGCTATGCAACCAATAATTGTTCAATTGAACGAATCTGTACGTGGTCTATCCAGAGTGGATAGAATAACATTTATTTGTTGTGATAGTTAGATCCATTTTGAATACTTTGTGTGTTTGTGAAAATCCCTCCATGTATATACTTGCACTTTGTTCCTATTGATCCTCTTAGTTGTACATTGTTAACTTTTTGGCTACATTTGAACTGTTAATATTTGTATTTTATTATAGTTTTCGTTTTTACTACACCTTCACTAATTCCCCATGTTTCTTCCCGAACTGCACTTATGTTGTTTTACTTTATACTAAGTCTGGGCGGCAGCCATTTGGGTTTATCCCTGCCTTTGGTTGCTTGAACTGTGTTGACTGGAATTGTGCATTTTGGTTGTGAATTGAAGCACTCTTCCAGAATTGAAAACACTCTGTGTTATAGAGCGACCAATTATTACCTTTTGAACGAATCTGTACGTGATCTATCCAGACAGGATAGAATAACATTTATTTGTGGTTATTGGTAATTTTCTTGCATCCTGTATCAACTTTCTTATTTATTGTAATTTAGATTTGATCAATTGAACAATTATTGGTTGGATAGCTGAGTGGTTATATTTGTTTAGGTAATAATGTACACTTAAATTTATGATAAATTATAGAACCGTCATCGTACCCAATTACTTTGTTTTGGTTTCAAACGGGCGAGGGTGCGTATCTAACTCATCCAGACAGCTGTCCTTCACTCCAAACCGTAGTTTGGATCTTACAGTTCTAAACAAATATTTCGGTCGAATTCGTTTGGCTTTCGTTTCGTTGATTCCAATCATTGTCTCTGGGAATATTTGGTCGTTCGCTTGCGATGCCAAACAATCGTCGAAGGAAATTAAGTCCAAGGCTCGTGGATGTTAAAAGAGATGAACAAAAGGATGGATCCCCTCAATCAAGGCAAGTGCCTTTTGATGCTTCTATGTGTCATGGTTCATATTCTAATAGGGACGATTGTAATTATAGTGAATCTAGTTGTGATATAATGGCAGATGGCATAGAAAACCTTAGTTTAGACGTGAAGCAAGCAAGAAGCGTGATGCCTACGGCGGCTTTCGTAGGTCCAGAGTTACCAAAGGTTGAGTTAAGTTATTTGGACGGTCAACCAAGAGGTTATTGTAAGTTTTTAATGGAGTTTGAGACCTATGTAGAATCAAGGGTCAAGGATGATGGTCAACGCTTGCTTTATTTGGTACATTATTGTAAGGGTAAAGCGAAAACAGCCATTGAGGGTTGTGTTATGTTGGAAGCCTCTTCTGGTTAGAAGAAGGCCAAAGAAATTCTAAAACGGTTGTTCGGACAGGCGCATGTAATCGCTCGAGAGACACTAGAAGACTTATTCAGTGCCGTAAATTTTGATTATGCTGACGGAGAGCAAGAAACAAAATTGGCTATTAAAATGGAAAACTGTGCTGTGATCTTGGAACAGATGAATTATGTCTCTGATCTAAATTCCTTAATTACCTTGGAAGGAATAGTGAGACTCTTGCCTCAGCCTATGCAAACCCAGTGGGCGGACTTGGTGGACGAATTGACTGAAGATAACAGGGAACCGACCTTTGACGAGCTCACTCAGTTTATCGCATCGCGTGCGAGAGTGGCTTGTAGTAGATTTGGACGGTTAGCAAATCGTTCAAGAAAAGGACATAACGTAAAGACGAACTGTCACGTGCAATCGGAGCAAGGGAATAGTTCGACAATGAAAACTAAGTGCAGTATGTGTTCCTACGACCATGCTGTTGATAAATGTCCACAGTTCTTAGCGCATACAGTTCAAGACCGATGGTCTCACGCTAAAAGCAAGGGTATCTGTTTTGTCTGTCTTAGACAAGGACATAAGGTTAATGAATGTAAGATGACAAGGCTCTGTAACGTTGACTGTTGTGAGAAGAGACATCACGTTCTGCTGCACACTGACTCGACAAGCAACGTCGTAAATGATAAGCCATCATGCCCGGAATATAGGAAAAGAGTTGTTAACCATACGGGTAAGGTACAGACATTAGAGAACGAAATACGTGAGCTTTATGATGTAGAGTTTTCAGATGCTTATTCAAGTGATAAATCATTATCAGTAGACGACAAGGCGGCTATAAAGATTGTGGAAGGGGGCACGCGCTTCGACAACGGTCATTTTGTAGTTTCTATACCGTGGAAAAAGAATCCAAATATGAAAGTGGATAATTATGAAGTAGCAAACCGTAGATTACAAAGTTTGAAGGGTATGTTGTCGAAGGATGTCAGTCTGCACATCAGGTATATCAAAAGTACTGAAAGTGATTTTACTAAGACTTATGCGGAGAGGGTCTTTGAAATATATCTGCAGTCTTATTATCGCCCTCGATGGTATTTACCTCATCGTGCAGTATTAAACATGAAGAAACCAGAAGAATTTAGAGTGGTCCTTGATTGTGCCGCCGAGTTTGCAGGGGTTTCCATGAATGATATGATTTATCAAGAACACGATACCACTGCTGAGTTAATGTGCATATTATTAAGTTTTTGCAAGGAGACAGTTGCAATCCCTGCAGATGTTGAAGAAATGTTCATGCAAGTGAAGTTCCCTAAGTCTGGTCGAGGAGCTTCAAGATTTCTGTGGTGGCAGGAGGGGGACATGTCGAAGGAACCATCTGAGTTTCAAATGACAACTCATGCATTTGGTGCCACATCATCGCCGTTTCGTGCGAACTTTGCCTTCAATAAGACCGCACAAATATTCTCTGACGGTAGTGAGTTTAGAAAAACTGCTGTGGTTAACTTGAGTAGTATAAAGTACAACATGTCACCTATTCTCTCTTATTACTCCGAGTGGTTGAAATTAGTCAGGGCCGTAGCCTGGCTTAGAAGGTTCATAGAATTCCTGATGGTACTTCGTTCCCCGAGTCATGAAGGATCCGTTCATTTAGGATGTTTAAAGGTCAAAGAGCTTGACATCGCCAAGCGTAAAATTTTATTGATGGTTCAGAAAGAAGTGTATGGAGAAATACTTAGTGGATTTAAAAACAATGGTAAAGTAGTTAGTCACAATGATCTGAAGGGCTTATCACCGATAATGCTTGATTGGTTACTCTGCGTTGGAGGTCGACTAAGATACTCAGATTTCCCAAATGCTTTTAAACATCCAGTAATTTTACCCAGTCGACACTTAGTGACGGAAATGATAATCAGACATTGTCCTAAAGAACAAGGACACATAGGAAGATCATTAGAAAAAGGGTATGGATATGTGTTTACTTGTTTGCAAACATGGGCAGTACAGTTTGAAATGATTTGTAGTTTGATTATAATGGCCTTATTACGTTGTATTGGAAGAAGAAGGAGACCTCCGGAGATTTACAGTGACAGTGCGTCAAGCTTCGTGGGGGCATTTTCTGAGTTAAGGAAGTTTGTGCAACAGTCGAATCAGCAGAAGATAAATAGTGAATTGTCAGCGAGGCCCTCATCCAACAGCATGGGTGGGGTTTGGGGAAGAGTGATTAGGTCTATACCACAAGTGTTATTGTTGAACACCAGAGAACAAGTGAAGCAGGTCTCCTTGAAGCTTCGGATTAGTCTTTGTTGTTATTAATGTAGGTAGGTCGAGTAGGCGTACTGTTGTAAGTCCTACTCGTTCCTATAGTGTCATATGCTACATAATGAACCATGACCATAGGCATCAAGGTAGCTTGTGTGATATGGAGGGATTTTGGGGGCCGGTGTAAGATCCATTTTGAATGCTTTGTGTGTTTGTGAAAATCCCTCCATGTATATACTTGCACTTTGTTCCTATTGATCCTCTTAGTTGTACATTGTTAACTTTTTGGCTACATTTGAACTGTTAATATTTGTATTTTATTATAGTTTTCGTTTTTACTACACCTTCACTAATTCCCCATGTTTCTTCCCGAACTGCACTTATGTTGTTTTACTTTATACTAAGTCTGGGCGGCAGCCATTTGGGTTTATCCCTGCCTTTGGTTGCTTGAACTGTGTTGACTGGAATTGTGCATTTTGGTTGTGAATTGAAGCACTCTTCCAGAATTGAAAACACTCTGTGTTATAGAGCGACCAATTATTACCTTTTGAACGAATCTGTACGTGATCTATCCAGACAGGATAGAATAACATTTATTTGTGGTTATTGGTAATTTTCTTGCATCCTGTATCAACTTTCTTATTTATTGTAATTTAGATTTGATCAATTGAACAATTATTGGTTGGATAGCTGAGTGGTTATATTTGTTTAGGTAATAATGTACACTTAAATTTATGATAAATTATAGAACCGTCATCGTACCCAATTACTTTGTTTTGGTTTCAAACGGGCGAGGGTGCGTATCTAACTCATCCAGACAGCTGTCCTTCACTCCAAACCGTAGTTTGGATCTTACAGTTCTAAACAAATATTTCGGTCGAATTCGTTTGGCTTTCGTTTCGTTGATTCCAATCATTGTCTCTGGGAATATTTGGTCGTTCGCTTGCGATGCCAAACAATCGTCGAAGGAAATTAAGTCCAAGGCTCGTGGATGTTAAAAGAGATGAACAAAAGGATGGATCCCCTCAATCAAGGCAAGTGCCTTTTGATGCTTCTATGTGTCATGGTTCATATTCTAATAGGGACGATTGTAATTATAGTGAATCTAGTTGTGATATAATGGCAGATGGCATAGAAAACCTTAGTTTAGACGTGAAGCAAGCAAGAAGCGTGATGCCTACGGCGGCTTTCGTAGGTCCAGAGTTACCAAAGGTTGAGTTAAGTTATTTGGACGGTCAACCAAGAGGTTATTGTAAGTTTTTAATGGAGTTTGAGACCTATGTAGAATCAAGGGTCAAGGATGATGGTCAACGCTTGCTTTATTTGGTACATTATTGTAAGGGTAAAGCGAAAACAGCCATTGAGGGTTGTGTTATGTTGGAAGCCTCTTCTGGTTAGAAGAAGGCCAAAGAAATTCTAAAACGGTTGTTCGGACAGGCGCATGTAATCGCTCGAGAAACTTGAGAGGACTTATTCAAAAATACAAATGTTGATTACAGTGATCCTGAGCAACTGACAAATCTAGCGTTTTCGAATTTCTTTGGCCTTCTTCTAACCAGAAGAGGCTTCCAACATAACACAACCCTCAATGGCTGTTTTCGCTTTACCCTTACAATAATGTACCAAATAAAGCAAGCGTTGACCATCATCCTTGACCCTTGATTCTACATAGGTCTCAAACTCCATTAAAAACTTACAATAACCTCTTGGTTGACCGTCCAAATAACTTAACTCAACCTTTGGTAACTCTGGACCTACGAAAGCCGCCGTAGGCATCACGCTTCTTGCTTGCTTCACGTCTAAACTAAGGTTTTCTATGCCATCTGCCATTATATCACAACTAGATTCACTATAATTACAATCGTCCCTATTAGAATATGAACCATGACACATAGAAGCATCAAAAGGCACTTGCCTTGATTGAGGGGATCCATCCTTTTGTTCATCTCTTTTAACATCCACGAGCCTTGGACTTAATTTCCTTCGACGATTGTTTGGCATCGCAAGCGAACGACCAAATATTCCCAGAGACAATGATTGGAATCAACGAAACGAAAGCCAAACGAATTCGACCGAAATATTTGTTTAGAACTGTAAGATCCAAACTACGGTTTGGAGTGAAGGACAGCTGTCTGGATGAGTTAGATACGCACCCTCGCCCGTTTGAAACCAAAACAAAGTAATTGGGTACGATGACGGTTCTATAATTTATCATAAATTTAAGTGTACATTATTACCTAAACAAATATAACCACTCAGCTATCCAACCAATAATTGTTAAATTGAACGAATCTGTACGTGGTCTATCCAGAGTGGATAGAATAACATTTATTTGTGGTGATTGGTTATTTTCTTTCATCCTGTATCAACTTTCTTATATATTGTAATTTAGATTTGATCAATTGAACAATTAGTGGTTAGATAGCTGAGTGGTTCTATTTGTTTAGGTAATAATGTACACTTAGATTTATGATAAATTATAGAACCGTCATCGTACCCAATTACTTTGTTTTGGTTTCAATCGGGCGAGGGTGCGTATCTAACTCATCCAGACAGCTGTCCATCAGTGCAACCGTAGTTTGTATCTTATATTGCGGAATCTATTTGGTGCTCTGTAAGATTGTCCAGTACTTCGAGGTGTCTAGTCGAAGTCATTTACAGGAAGCCAACTGGTGACATCGAGTACGATAATCGTATTCTGGATGGACTATCGCGCTCTAGTCGTCTCGGTTTAACACATATCCGGATTCTAGGGGACTTTAATCTCCTTAGAGTCAACTTCGCGGAGCACATGTATACTGGAGGCGACAACTCAATTAAAGCTCGGTTCTTCAACTTTATTGATGACTTGAGATTGTTCGAAAATGTGAGGTCGGCAACTCGATCATGCCGTCATAGCCTTCAGTTTTGTCAGCAAAACTAACCTAAGATACCCCACCAATGACTTGCGTTGGTATTTTAAACGGTTAAATGTGCCAGCGTTACACGACTATCTACAACAGGTGGTTTGGGATGTTCACCCTCAACTCGATGTGGACGGTCACTGGGACTTCTTACTGCACACGCTCTTATGTGCTACAATCCATTCAGTTCCTCAAACGGTTCCCAAAAGCTGCAAGCCACCTACAATAATCAAGAACCGTACCCTTCGCCTGCTAAGCTGCAAAAGGCACTGTTGGGCGGAATACAAACGAACTGACAACGACGGAGCGTATAGACAATATAAACATATCAGGAACATATGCACGAAGGCTATAAGAGAAGACAGGCTTCAGTACCAGACAAAGCTTATGGACACATTTGCCTCTAACCCTAGAAGACTATTCCGTTATGCAGCCTCTCTTCGTCAAGCCAAAACAGGAGTTTCTCAACTGCTAAGTCTTAACGGCCCGACCAACAACGATGGCGACGCCCCTAACCTTCTGGCTGAACATTACTTCCAGACATTTCAACCGACCGACATTAACTTTACTGATGACAGTTTCGTTTGCAATTCCACAGGACTTTCCGAAGTGAACCTAAGCGCTGACTTGGTGTTCCGTAAACTGCAGCACTTAAGACTAGATACTTCTCCTGGCCCGGACATGGTCCATTCCGCCATACTGAGGGAAGCAGCCACAATCTTGCCAACGCCGTTTAGCGTCATGTTCTCACACTCGCTAAGTCGAGGAAAACTACCGGAAGATTGGAGGCTGGCTCACATCACACCAATTTTCAAAGGAGGTCGACGTAGCGAACCTTCAAGTTACCGACCGGTGGCTCTTCTCTCCATACCTTCAAAAATCATGGAGTCCCTGATATGCGATGGTATAAATGACTATTTACTGTCCTTAAATTTCTTCTCACCCCAACAGCATGGTTTCAGGAAGGGTTACTCTTGTATTACCAACCTGCTGACTGCGGTGGACAGATGGACAAGCATCCACGATCGCAAGGGAAAGGTTGATATCATTTACCTTGATTTCTCAAAAGCTTTTGATAAGGTTAACCATTTGTGTCTTATCAATAAGCTCAAACGATTGGGTATCAGACCACCTCTAATCGATTGGCTTACTTCATACCTAAAAAATCGACACTTTATCTCAGGCTATGGAATGTCCTAGTGGGATACACCAGGGCTCAGTACTAGGGCCTCTTCTCTTCTTGATCTACATAAATGATCTTCCTCAACAGGTGACGTCAGACTTATTACTTTTTGCCGACGACGTGAAACTTTGGAGAGAGATACGCAACCAAGACGATATACAGGCACTTCAGGAGGATCTGACTCGACTTCAAAGTTGGCCAGACGATAACGGACTTACCTTTAACACTTCAAAGTGTAAAGTAGTCCATCTGCGACATGTCGCAGACTACAGTTACAACTTAGGAAACTTCTCTCTAGTAGTATCCCAAGTCGAAAAAGATTTAGGAGTCCTGATGCCCCATGATTTGAAGTCCTACGCTAACTGTGACAAAAATCCCTTCCGAGCAAACCTTGCACTGGTAACGTTGGAGCGCATTTTTGGACAGTTTGACGGACGAAGTTTCCATACAATCTTCAATAGTTTCGTCCGTCCCCATTTAGAGTACGGAAACATAGTATTTCCCCCTCACTCCAAGAGGATAAGAACACCCTGGAGCGTATCCAACGGCGAGCTACGAAATCAGTTCGAGGACTCAAATCTAAACCTTACGAAGAACGCCTCCATTCACTTAACCTTTACCCATTAGAATATAGACGTTTTAGAGGTGATCTATTAATGGCTTATAGTATTCTTAACACTTCTGGACATCCTCTCAGACACCTACTTAAGCTTAGTTCGAATAATAACCTAAGGGGCAACACCCAAAAACTTGAAACACAACATAGAAGAACGGACTGTAGACACAACTTCTACTCCTTAAGAGTTGTCAAAAGCTGGAACTCGCTGCCGAGCGAGCTAGTTCAAGCAAATTCGCAGGAGTCATTTAAGAGACAGCTTGATCTATTCTTAAGAACTAAGGATAGTATCACACTATGATTTACTAATTTCTTTTCCTCTTTTATTGTTAACATACCTAGGTTCCTGCCTGGAGGATTTGGTGATCCTCTGCTACTAGAAACGGAAGCCTGTTAAGCGAAAGCTTCTTCTATTCCGTGCACAACCATTTGAACCATTTATTACGATGCATGGTTCCGAATCATTTAAAGTAAATAATACCGCCTGTTGAAAAACTCCGGAGTTGTTTCTCCGAGCACACTACTCGCTAACGAACTTCTGTACTTTATTGTTTACGACAAATAGGTATGCCTTCAGAGTTGTAAGTCTTCATTAATAATAGTACTCAGAGTTTGAAATCGCCTTTACACGTAACACCTTTAAAATCAAAAAATGCCAACTCAGTCAAATTTAAGTCAGAAATGAATAGGTCTGAAGATACACTTAGAAAGTTATCGATACGTCGAGAACTGTTTATTCTAAGCTGGTTAGTATTCGCAAGAGGTGCGTAGCACACATGAATTTAATAGGGGTCCTACCGAATATAGATGAATATAGTCGAAACGAGCGTCTAGAGTTGTGAAATAGCACAAGGGAATTTGTTGTGTATGAACACTTTGGATTTCTGGCATCTTATATGGGAATGTGTCTACTCCCTCACGTCTTTATTCATACCAGATCAACAAAGTTGTTTTGCTATGAGCTGGACGGTTGCTCGAACACCTGGTTGAGAAAGTTTATGCAATGTATTAAAGACGTTGTAGTGGTTGGTACTTAATATAATCCCTTAGCTTCATATACTG